TTTTCGGTTTTGGAAATACATGCAACGGACTTATAATGGTAAATATCCACGATGTACATCATATTTTGCTGAAAGAGACACCAAAGAGAATTATATTATATTCATATGTTTGACAATTAAAACGGTTTTGAATAGAAAAAATGAAACATACATCATATGGAACTTCTCCGTAAATAGTGTAGTTGAACTGGGAGCTGACAGAACTGGTGTTGATTTTAATGGTATGAACCTCAGTTAATTTTGTGTACACAGGGACGGGGATTGCGGTGAGTTTCAGTATCAGCCAATCTTTATCCTCCGTGGCTGAGGGGACAGGGGATCCAAAGTTTGTAATATTCAGGGTCACCTCCGCCACATTCTGAATCCTGGAATTGTTTGATCTTTTGAAGTAGACACTCACAGCAGAACAAAGGACGTTACTTCCGGTGTTACCAATGGTTACAGAAGTGATAAGAAGGCCCGCCGCTCCCTGTCCTCCTGATTTCAGTGACGTCAGAGTCACATTAAACTGATACACACCAAATTGTGATGATGTCAAATTAACATCTGAGGTAAACTCTCTCCCAGTTGAAAGCAAATCATTATAGGGAAGGGTCTTCATTCTCTGTATGACCTACATTACAAATGATCTGTGGGCTCTATATATGTATATATATCACAGTGTTCGGTAATCAATATGAAAATAAAATAAGGGCAACACCACTTCTTGCCAAAACGTAAGCGCTTTCATATATGTATATTTATGTCAAAAAATAAATAATTATCATTGATTTCAAAACTATATACAAACTTAAAGTGACAATCTCTTCAAAAACAGACTTGTTAAAATTTTCGTATAGGATTTGGAATTTTTTTCATACTCATAGATGTATACACTTTCAGAAAATTACAAGTTTCATAAGTAAGTTTCATAAGTTTCATAAGTAAATAATTCTGATTATTTCATTTAAATTAATAATTATTTATGGTACATAAATATATACATCGCAACGTGTTCAGGTTCCACATTCCATGCTATACACGCATGCGTAGTCTTCATAAACAAAACAGCATGGTAAGAGAGGGAAGCCCGGTAGGCCTGCTACATTGACAAAGTCAACCAAAACGAATTAAACGAAAATAGGGCTTGAAATTAAAAAGCAACTTACCTGACAAAAAAATTAGTTGGGAGATTAATATAACATCTTTTTACCTTATTCCTGAATGATATATTGGGTAAATTTGAATGAAAAAGCACACGATTTGCAGCCTTATTGCCGCTTTAAATAAATACTAGTAGTATACATGAATATGCTTTAAAATATAGACACTAATCATTTCCATATTAAATAATACACTGAAATATTTTTCTATGTATTAAAGTATGCAAAATTATTCTCAAAAGACTTAAATACACAATACTGGTAATCTATAACTGATAAATGTTTCAATTAATATTAAAAACAACTTAGTTTCATATTAAACAATGCACTGAGTATTATTCTATGTAACTTGTATGGATGCAAAAATTCATTTTCAGAAGACTTCGATACAAAGCAACCTAGAATGTTAATAGGATTTACCGGAATTAAGACAAAATTCGAAGAAATAAAATTAAACGTTGAATTCCATAAAATAACACCATCGACGACAATGACGAATTCCAGTGAATATCTGGTATTTAGTTGAGATTCCTTGTCCATGTACACGACAGTTTCTGACCAAGTCTCTGCTGACGGGGGTGGATTCAAAGGCATCTACGTAAAATAAAACAGTGGAATTTAAAGGCATCTACGTAAAATAAATAGTGATGGATGGATTCAGTGATGGAAAGGCATCTACGTAAACTAAATGTATAAAACAGTAAAAGCATCTGAATTTAAAGGCATCTACGTAAAATAAAACGGGGATAGAAATAGTGATCGCTCACCCAAGTAACTTTGGCCATTCTTAAATTTAAAAGATTTCCTACTTCGTAAAACCAATCTTGACCTTGACAATACCAAAGGGTCATGATTCGAACAATTTAGAATCTCCATTACCCAAGGATGCTTCCACATAAGTTTCAGCTTTTGTGGTCCTGTGGTTCTTGAGAAAAAGATTTTTACACTGTTCTCCTATATATTTCAATGTAAAACTTGGATTCCCTATTGTGGCCCCGCCCTACCCACGGGGGTCATGATTTGAAAAATTTAGAATCTACTACCTCAGGATGTTTCTACATAACTTTCAGCTTTTCTGATTAAGTGGTTCTTGAGAAGAAGATTTTACATTTTTTCCCTATATATTTCTATATAAAAATTGGATTCCCTTTTGTGGCCCCGCCCTACCCCCAGGGGTCATGATTTGAACAATTTAGAATCTACAGTACCTCAGGATGCTTCCACTTATGTTTCAGCTTTTCTGGCCCAGTGGTTCTTGAGAAGAAGATTTTTCAATGTCCCACTCAGGTGAGCTAAAACGGGAATGGATTTAAAGCTATCTAAGTAAAATAAAACGGGGATGGATTCACAGGTATCTGTGTAAAATTAAAAGAAAGATGGATTTAAAGGCATCTACGTTAAATTAAACGGGGATGGATTTAAAGGCATCTATATAAAATAAAACAGTAGTGGGGTTCAAAAGCATTTATGTAAAATAAAAATGGAAAAAAATTTCATAAAATCAAACGGGGTTTAAAGCCTTCCACTTTTAAAATTTAAAAGTAAAAGGGTTTCCCTCTACGTAAAATTAAACGAGAATGGATTTTAACGGATTTAAAAATTTGGAAAAGGGAAAACATCTACGTAAAATAAATTATGAATGGATTTATAAGCATCTACGTAAAATAAAACAAGGATGGACTGAAAAAGGGGATATATTCAAAGGTATCTACGTAAAATAAAACAGGGATGGATCTAAAGCCATCTACTTAAATAAAACAGTCACTGTGGGTTTTGGAAACTCGTAAACTAAAACGGGATGGACTTAATGGAATCTACGTAAAAAAAAAAAAACAGGGATGGATTTAAAAGGGTTTTTCGTTAAAAAAAGGGGGAAAGGATTTAAATTAAGGCATATACGTAAAATAAAACAGTGGTGGATTCAAAGGCATCTATGTAAAATAAAAGGGGAATGAATTTAAAGGCATCTACGTCAAATAAAAAAGGGAAGGATTCAAAAGGGATCAACGTAAAATAAAATGAATGTTTATTCTTACAAATGATACAACTTTTTTAAGTTTCAAATGACGTCGACGGTTGTTAAAGCAATATGAGCTGTAAGTTTGACATGGGAAAAAATTTTTTGAAATTTGTAATCAACAACTTCAATGACAGAAAAATAGAACATTTATCAACTTTTGTTGCTCATATTTGCAATGGAAGAACTATTTATTAGCTTTGATTGAAGCAAAATTACATTATTGTCATCCTAAACAATATTGTTTTCTTATATAATGTTATATATTCAATTTAAAAGAAATTTTTCTTTTTGAAAGAATTAAAAATTTTATTTTGGTTTAATTGAATTTAAAGGCATCTACGTAAAAAAAAAACAGGGATGGATTCAAAAAGGGGGCAAGTTTAAAAAAAAATGAATGTTTATTCTTACAAATGATACAACTTCTTTTTAAGGTTTTCAAAATTTAAGGCGGGGTTTAAAGAAAAAAACGAAAAAAAAAATTTTTTTTTTTTTTTTTTTTGAAAGGTTGAAGCAAAATTACATTTTTGTCATCCTAAACCTTTTTTTTCTTTATAATGTTATATATTCAAATTTTTGAGGAAAATTAAAAATTTTATTTTGGTTTAATTGAATTTAAAGGCATCTACGTAAAATAAAACGGGGTGGATTCCAAAAGGGATCAAAGTAAAAAAAAATGAATGTTTATTCTTACAAATGATACAACCTTTTTCAAATAACGTCGACGGTTGTTAAAGCGAGCTGTAAGTTTGACATGGGAAAAAAATTTTTTCAAATTTGTAATCAACAACTTTTAATGACAGAAAAAAAGAACATTTATCAACTTATGTTGTTCATATTTGCAATTTTTAATAAGCTTTTTAAGCAAAATTACATTTTTGTCATCCTATACAATACAGTGTATTGTTTTCTTTATAATGTTATATATTCTTTAAAAAATTTTTCTTCTGAAAGAATTAAAAATTTTATTTTGGTTTAATTTTATAAAGGTTTGAATTACATACAAATTAATCAAAAAATTTTTTAAAAACAAAATGAATTTGTCAAAAACGCAGATCATATTGCATTAAGGAGCAGCGAGAAGCAAATAAATGTTTTGCATTCGACAATTTTCTAAAATACACTTGAAATTGCTGGATAATTCAGGAAATTTTCATATAAAATAAGCCGTGCATTTGTATTTAAGGACAGATAATACAAACAATTTTTTTTCTTTGAAAGAGACTTAATAACATGTCACAAGTTTAAAAAGTGGATAATTTTTAGAATTTTTTATCCTAAGAACTGGGAAAATGAAATAGACTTGTTAGATATTGGTAATATTTCAATAAAAAAACAAAAATAGACAAATCACACAAGTAAAGGTTTACAGGTGATTACAAAGGATGTATTCACTTTAACAAAAGAATTGACCTATAGGAAGAACAATTTCCCGGAAAAAACGACATTTAAAAACCAATCTTTATTTGTTGTTTTCTACTGTATATATGTCTAAATTTTTCAAATTTGTATTTTATACCTCAAATTTATTATTTACAACTTTACAATAAACTTCCAAAGTTGACCTAAACACCATTTTGTCCGTAAAAACGTTGATTTTTGCATGAATTTTGGCCTTGAAGTCCTTCAGGGCAGGCCTGCCCCTAAATAAAATTGTGATATTTTGATAGGTTAGGATGTAAGGAATATTTAAGTTTAAGATTTTTTTAAGGGGCACCCCTGCCCTGGGGTAGAATTCACAAAAAAACTACAAAAAATAAGGAAACCTGATTTTCATAACCTGCTTTAAATTTCTGACATTCATTCTTATAGTCAGACTAGCTCAGTTGATATAAGTGCTGACTTTTTCAACTTAAATACTTTCTTTTAAAGTGGGGGGGGGGGGGGGGGGGGGGTTTGAATCCACGTGGTACAACACTTTGAAATTTTAATTTTTGCCTTTTCAAAGACTATTAAAATTTTTTTTTTATATAGATTTGTGTATTTTTCCTTCAATTATCTATCCTTTATGCACGCCCATTTTTGATAAAGAAACACTAGAGAAATATCAAATCGCAACAATTCAATTAAATTGTCGTCAGGCGGAACGAACCTCAGTATAAACACACTTTCTCCAGGACAAGAATAACTCACTATCGGGTGAAACACAATATAGGGAACAGTAAAGGGTTTCACTTGGGTCTTTATTTTGCCCAAAAAATATTTTTTCTAAAAAGTAGAGTGTCTAAAGGATCTGAAACATAAACTGTTTTGTGAAATTCACATTATAACTTTGTTTTTTACAAGCTGATAATAACCTCATTTTCACAGGTTACGGACACTACAATTGTTGGTTTCTTTGAAATAAATATTGAAAACTGTTTGTAAACTTTAATTTTTTCAATTGCCCACAAACAAACAACATATAAAAATACAAAATATGGACAAAAGTTTGACTATAAAAGGTGGCATTATACTTTAAAATAAAACAGTTCTACGTTGTACATTTTTGTTTAAAATGGTAGTATTTCATTTCATGTGAACTTTTTAAAACCAGTATAAATAAAGAAAAAACTATTTATAAAGAACACTTTTTATGCGTTTGTTGAAATATAAATTCATATAAAATAAGTTCCATTAAAATAGGAAATTTCATTTTCATAAATTTTCTAAAATAATTATATAGCTTCATTAAGTTACGGACACTACAAAACCCAAATATTTATGATTGGCTTTTGGTTTGTGGTAAAAAAACAAACATTTTATAAACTTCTGAACTATTATAAATCAGATTTAATTGATTATTAAATACAAAGTACATAAATTAGATATTGTTTCACGTAAACAATTTATTTGGGAGAACTAATGCCGAAAAAAAATCCACTATAGGAAATCCTGAAACTCCTTTTTTCACATAACTATATAACTAAAGTACAGAAGACAAGTTCTCTAAATCATTGAAGTTTTATGAAAACTATTTAGAATGTAGGTACACTGATCAACGAAGTCAATTAACCAAATTTAAGGGTTACGGACACTACACAATACTTTAATTTTTCACAGGCTTGAGGATTAAGGTTTTGTTTTTCAGCCCTTTTTTCAGCATTTTATTTCTCGTTTCAGTTTCTCCCGATTTTTTTTTTTTTTCAGATCTCAACTTCATCTGCTAAAAGCATACCATAACCAATATACTTTGAATAAATATATACACATGTAACTACGAGGGCCGTTCAAAAATTACGCGGACTTGTTGCACACAAAAAAAAAATTGACGACATAATCAGGCAAAATGTCACAACATAATATTAAAGAATCTTTACTTATATGGTCTTCAAAATTTCATATCAAAATATTGTAAATTGGCATCAATTTTGACTGATTTTTCAGGACATATCATTAAGTCACGGAGCAGAAAATCTTCGACGTCACATGCATTATAAAAAATTATGTGACTGAGCTTTCATTTTCTCAACATTTTCCCAAGAGTACCTGTACAGTTTGAGTTACCTTATCTACTCAACATCCAAACACCATTTTTGTCAAGCTCAAAATCTATTTAACAAGTAAATAATATTCTTTTTCTGTTTAAAAACCAAAA